TTATCATTTATAATTGACAATACATTTATATAATTTGTATATTCTAATTTAAACTTAATGTTGTGTTAAATCATAACATTAAAGTAGTTAAATTTAATTAAACAATTTTTTATATTAACAATTTTAACAATTATTTTTTGTTCTGAATTAATTATATTATTGTATACATAATTATTCATAAAATTAAATATTTATTTGTAACAGTAACAAATACATTTAAATTTAAAAACATTTGATAGAAGTAATTATTTAGATTAACAATAGATTTTAATATAATTATTACAGTTCAAAGATCTATGTTAATATACTTAATTATTTATTTATAATTTATTACAAGTATTTATTTATTCAATTTTAAGTCAATAATTATTATATTTGTATTACATTTTCAGTGAATATTATTGTAGTGTCCAATATTAACAGCTAACACAATATAATAAGTGGTTTTTAATTTAATTTTTATATTTTGAACTTACTTGAAAGTATATACTTAAACTTGTATTTATTTTAACAAATAAATGTACTTAATGGTATTATTATATATTTAGAAATAGTTAAATTTATAATTTATAATTTTTAGATAAAGCTGGTTAATTTAATACCATAATTGAAAATACTCGTCAGTCAATATACAATTTTAGAGAGTTAAAAAAACTTATTAATGCATAGTTTTAATATGCTAAAATGATGTTTAAAAACACATTATAAGAGGTTTGATACAATATTTTGAGACATTTTTTTTTTTTTATATATGCCTATTTCTTCAAGTAGATAATAACCTAAACCTATCTTAACCAGTTGGACAAGTTTTAATATAAATATATATTTTAAAACTAAGTAAATAAGTATGTTTTAACTTTAGATTTGCATATTGTTCTTTTAAGTGATGTGATGAAAATGTTTAAAATTATTTTGAATTTCAGAACTAAGCTCTGTATATTTTATCTTTTGAAATGGATTAAGTATTTTAATGTTGAAGCAAAATATGCATTAAGAAATGACAGTTTTATCATTGCTTAGGCAAAATTCATAACTGCAACAATACCAATACATTCTTCATTAGTCATTGTAATTGAAATAATAATGTGTTAATGATAAATTACAGTTAATTTAATAGTCTAATTTTGATATAATTTAATAGATTACTATCTAATAAAATATATTAAATATAATAAATTTAATTTTAAAATATATGATTTTATTCTTAAAATATGTACTCTACTAATGTGCTATACATTACAATTTTTAGTATTTGTATGGTTAATCTAAAAATGAATATTATTAATATCACTAAAAATTGTTATAAATTGTGGATGGAATGTACATAGGTACGTTTCCTTACATAATATTATGTTTTACAGTAAAATATTTTTTGTTAAAAGACATGAATTTATTATTATAATAATTTTAGATTATGATATAGATTAGATACGTTATATTAAGCATAGTATAATAGATAATTAGGTAAAAAATTAAATTAAAATATGCTCGTTAACAATATATCTATTAGTTCTAAATCCCCAATACTCAGAATTCAAAATTGAATTTTACCATAGTTTGATTATTTTTACTTGGATGTGAATACAAATTTAAATATTTTTTTGGATATATGAAATAATTTATAACAACTAAAGTTCTAAATTTGAAGTGATATAAATTCTAATATAAAGAGTAAAAATAAAAAAAAAACATTTTAAACCTAAATTAAAGCAATTTTTTTATTTAACTATTCTATTATTTTTAAGAAAATAAATAAATGTCATGAACAAATTTTAATAGTAAGAACTTTGATAAACTCTCAATCATCAAAGCTAAAATACACTATTGATAATTCTATTTGCAAAAATATAGCTAAAATATTTATCTTATTTCATCTGTGTCATTCATTAGTTGATGCCAGTTACACATCAAAATATTGTTGAAATATTTTATTAATTATACTACTATAAGTATACTTAAGTTATTGTAATAAAATAGTAATTTAATAGGGAATTTATTGGGAACATAGCAATTTAATTTTTATTACATTTGAATAAAAATTAAACGAAATAAAACACATTTGTGTGTAAAGTAAAAATTATTTTATTCATTATCATATATATAAATATTTTTTTTTAATAAAAATAGTACATCTCAACTCTAATAGTACTTAGCTGTATTTGTAACTGATGTATATTATAAATTATTCTATGAAACTTATATGTTTCTAAATTTAACATTTATATGTCTGATCTAGCTTTATCATCATTGTAATTTATTTTACTATTACTTACCTATAGATATAATATAATCTATTTATGATTGGATTTTTTTGTTAACAGTATCAAAGTAAGTTTAAATACTAAATTATACAAAAGGTGATAATCATTGTTTTTTAATTATTATAATAAGATCAAAAATTTGTTTGTATTTTTAATATCGGTCTTGAATTGACAAAGTATTACTTACACTGAGGGCTGGGCAGTATCTTATTTAAAAATGTTTAAGATAGATAATTGTGATAAAATTGTATTTAGTATCTTTTTATGTTTCAAGTAATTTTACTAAAACTATTTGTATCTATGTGCTTTAAGATTATTTGTCAAGTCAAGTTAATTATTATTACAATGTATTAATACCAAATTTATGTTTTTATTTAAATTTTGACTTGAATTGTTGAAAGAAAATAATCAAGGCACTTGCATTCTATGGCGATTCCATTAAGAGAACATTACATCCGCATACGGTGTCAACATCTATCAACACATACCATAACAAATGAAATAATAGTGAATAATCCATTTAACTCTGGTGTATAATAGTAAATTGACTTGTTATCAGATTTAAAATAGAAATATATATAAAAAAAAAAAAAAATGAGATTTACTAGGTAATATTCTTATTTTTAAATTGTATAATAGGTAAATTCACTATGTTAAATATGACAGAGTTCAATGGATTATTTAGAATGAACAATTTGCTATGCTATGCGTTTGTAAGACAGAGGCACAACGTACAGGTGTAGCGTATTCTTAATAGTATCATTGGTGAATAGATTTGATTCTTTTTTGCATTTAACACCTGAAGTTAATGATGTTATTTTAGGATTCCTAAAAAAAAAAAGTAAGTGATTCAGAAAAACAATAATTCAAAATTGTTGTATTAATGAAATAAAATGTTACCTATTCAAAATAATTTTCTAAATCAAATCTCATTTAAACGGAGAGGGCTTTTTTATTATTATTTTTTTCTTAGCCAAACAACTCAATACAGCAGTCAAGTGACTAACTTAAATTTATAAGTTTTTTAAGTGATAAAAATAAAGCACTTACTTGTCTAAATAATTACCTAACAATAAAAATAAATGTTTCAAAAATATAATACAAGCCTTAGTTGTTCAGCTGCTGCTGATTTTTTTTTAATATGCTAAGTTTATTTATTTTATATGCAGATTTAATATGTCAGATAATACATGGGTTATAAATTTTAATTTTCATAAGCCATATGCCACAATAAAATAATTTATAAACTTATTATTTAAGAATGTAAAATATTGGAAATAAGAATTAAGAACTGTAATATATTTAATCTTGTATTCAGGCATTACAATTAAATGTATTTTGTATTGAGATACTTTTTTGAGGTACTTTACCCAGCCCAGCAGTTATACCATACATATAATTTTAGACTTCAATGACACTTAATAAATACCTAAGCTATAAAATTAAAAATTGAAAGATAAATGGATTATAAATATTAAAACTAGATTGATTTTATTACTCATTTTAAATATCTACGTATAACACACATAATTAATTTTAAATTATCAAATCGACATGAATAGTTAACATACTATAGTAGATAAATTTATATAAATTTCAAATCAATGTTGATTTTTGTATGATATATGAGTATATGACTAAGAGAGTGATTTATTTACTCTAAATGCTGTATTTCTAGCAACATTTCGATACAAACATGATAGCTGTCATCCTCTCATTACCTATTCTTTTTAATCTTGTGATAAAAATTAATGATTCGATTGGAATTCCTACAAACTTTTTCTTGGGCCTTAGTTTCTTTACAGTAATTTAATAGGTTACAAAACTGCCAATAATTCTACTCTTATAAATCATATTTTACATCATCTTTTAAAAAAAATTCTCACCACAAATATTCCTATCTCAAATTTTGTGATTTGATACCTAAGTCGTATCTATTGATAGGTTTTGATATATCAGAATTATTTTTCCTTTAACATCACATTTTATTCGTTAAAGGTTTACGACTTTCCCAATAGATGATAATTTAAGATTGTTAATATGTGATAGAAGTATAAAACTTAAAACGATAAATGAATATGTCTATATAGTATATAGTGAAGGAGAATTTAAATTCAAGAAAAATTATTATTTTTATCATTCAAAATGTTCAAAACAACTAAAATATTATTTGACATCTGTGTGAGAAAAATGTCAATAAAAAATATTTGTGAATCAAAAATAGTATTAAGTAACTCACGTGTAATGCGAATTCACTAAATACCTTAGATACATCTCACAATTGAAGCCAATTTATCTTATGTTCGTGCCTTCATGACCACCAATATGAAAATAATATTATATATTTGGTATTTTAAACAGTATTCATGACGTAATCTTTATTTGTCTGTACGGCTTTTAGCTACCAATGTGGTAATTGATTTTTTAAATTCTAACGTGTTAATAATTTTTCATACGGTATTTTAATTAATAATCACTAAAGATTTTTGTGACTTCTTTGTAATTTTACTAGATATGTACCTACTTATCAAGTATTTTGTAAATAAGCAGCCATCGTGTTGTAGGATTAAACAATTAAAAGAATAATTAAAAAAAAAAAATTGCTTCATAATATGCGGTTTGATTATCAATTGTGTATAGGTACAATAATAATAATTATTTTATTATTTATATCACAGTACAATACGTACTATATAATATAATATAGATACACCTATATATTATTATATTAAGCACGCATTTATTATATAGTTTTAAAAACAACAAATATGCGTATTCTAGTGAAAAAGTTCTTTTTTTTAGTAAGAGGGGAGGTTACATGATATACCTACCTACGTGTTTGTAGTTTCATGTAAAATCATTTTGTTTTTTTTTTAATTTAATGTTTAAAATTTGAAGTTCAATTGTAGATAGGTATACTGAAGTCCACGAAGAGTGTTTTAGAACAGGTTCTTATGTGAGGTAGATTTTAGAAACTTGTTTAGAACATTTTTAATCAAATCAGACCACATCTAAAACAAATAAAAACGAATTTTATTAACGCGAGCACATATTATGCGCTATTCTTAGGTTGGTTAGGTGAAGTAGGTACTATTGAAAATATTTCGTCCTTACTTTGTACTGAAAATCATTATTTTCGAACATTTTCAAAAATGTTTTTAAAATGATCGGTTGGAAGAGTGCTGTATTGTTTTCAACTTTGCTGATATGATGCATCATAGTGAATACAGATTCGTTGACTATTTCGCTGTTTCTTTCGTAGTTTTGTAGAACTATGCCGTACTTGTACATTATGTCAGAAACAGCAAACCTGTAAATAGTAAAATTCCATTGTTCCATATTTATATTTTATGTGATTTTTGTAATTATTCTTATTATAATCTGTCTATCTGTATTAGGTATATTTACTTTTTGATGTACGCATTAATATTGTCATTTAAATTCCAACAATCTTTAAGGGTATCAAACAATGACAATACCATATGATTTGTAATTATCAAATCATGCAAATATTCAATAATCTGTATGTCACTGTCATAGTAACGAATTAGCAATGTGAACAAAGATTTGAGGTCCTTTGCCCAAGTGATTGATTCTGGCGAGTTGTTACCTGAATCTAAATATCACATACATTTTCAATAGTCGAACATAGATATTTCTATAATTTTTATTTTCGGTTGGTAAATATAGATAATATAGATACTAATATCTGTGATACCTATTCATAACAAATAATTGAGGTACCTACTTATGGCTGTAAAATGCAAACATTGCAAACTGTAAAACGTTATTACGACGAAGTAACTACAATTTATTAGTCGGCGATCGATATGCTGAGAACTATAGTAGTAAATCATAAAAAAAATGAAACTATTTAGGTGTACCTATTTGCGTATCCTAGGAAGCCATGGGCGTAGCGAGGATGGAGCAAGGGGGCACTTGCCTCTTCCCTACGCTTCACACTAAATTTTCTTTCTTATACCAAACGTAGAAGTTTTACCATAAAATCAAAAAAGCAAAAAAGAAAAGAAAAAAAAGATTATCAACTGCCCCCTCCTCTTCTGATTAAAATCCTAGCTAAGCCCACGTAGGAAGCTGTTATTTAATATGGGCGTCAAGCGTGTACTTAAGGTAGTGCGTTGTTTTGAACTACCCATAAAATTGTGCGTGGGTGTGTGAGCGAGTAAAAATATTTATCCAGTAAAACTAATACTTATGCCAAAACACGGTGTACGTACTACGCATAGATATATCGCAATTTCGTGATTACGAACTGGTATAATATTACTACATTTTGTAAGCCATAACACTACCAATAGATTTTGTACTGATATAATGTGTAGGTATGTAATATTTCTGCAGGTACTTACCTATCAAACATTATAGAGAGAAGAATACGGTGAGTAAATATTTTAAAGAATTTCATTTATTGTCTTAACTGATGCAATGAGTGAGCGGGTCTTAAATAATTGTAATACATTTGCTGTAATGATTTATTGACCCGTTTGATACGGGATAATGATATGTGGATAATGATTTTGCTAAAAAAAAGCGTGTAATGTTTGTTCAAAGCTCTACTACAGCGTGTACAAATTGCCTATAGGTTTATAGTCAAGTTTAATACAAATTATGCGATAATGGAATTAACTTGTATTAGGCATAATATGTATAGTTGTCAAATCAAAAATGACTTTTTTTGTGTAAGTACTTATGTAGAATATTATAAGATACAGGATACCTACGTTGTGTAATAAATATTTATATAAAATGTTATGTTGCAAACATAATTCAACAAGTAAGCAAATGGTAGCTAGGTACCCAGAAATTGGCTTTAATATTATTTTATTTTGATAAATTTGTTGCTATTCAATTGTATTATATTTTTATATTTTTTGTGATGTTTACTTACTCTGAAGGTCATTTATTAGATCGGCATAAATTGGTGACTCGACAGCAGTTTGGCGATAAAACTCAATAGTTTTTATCACTTCTTTAATGGCCATAATGGCCTTTATGTAGATAGTAGACATAGAAAAAAAAAGATTAAAAATATTTTTTGAGCAAAATTAATCGACGGTTGATAATGTATAACATACCAAATGCAAATGTCTGACTTTTAAATGAATATTTGGAGATTTTTGCCGTTTTGCGATAGTTAATTGTTCTGATATTTTAAGACCCTCGTGAACAATGAATGAAATCAGTTTGAAAGATACAATCCGTCTAAATGTGATGAATAATATTTATGTATGATAAAGACGCACATACCTAGTTTTATATTAATTTCGATCACAATAAGTATTCATAACATAAACTTGAGTACCTGACTAGTTTTAATTCGATGTTGCTTAATTTGCAAAATCTACAAAAGTATGTTAATAGCCAGAAATACAGTGAAGTATCTATGTGCTGCTGTGAATTCGATGTAAGTAAGTAATAAAGTTCTTCGACTAAGGTATTGAATCCGTTTTGCATAAAACAAACAGTAAATTTCTGAAGAAAGTATGATATCATGCATATCTCATTTGGCACATTAAACTGTATAGGAAAACTTGGTGATTTCAATCTAAAAATAATCCAACGAACGATTAATTAAAACAATACTGTGATAAAATCGTGCATTTCTTACTTTGTTTTTAGAATTTTTTTCGTATATTTTTTTTTGCGCGTTACCACTTTTTTTTTACAAATTTCACTCGCAAAAGTGGGTTTATAAGCTTTCATTTCAAATTCAAGTTTAATTTGTTCAAATGAATTTCTTCTGGATTCTCTGTTCGAGTTTTTGGAATTAATTTTTTCTTCATTATCTTCTCTAAAACAAACAAATATTCATACCTAATATAGTAACATGTAAAATACCTGTAGATATATATTTATTAATCATTGTAAATATTACTTTGTTAAGTCGTGGCTAGGTAATAGTGAAAGGTCTTCGAATATATTTTTAGTTCCGAGTTTATCTTTCACAGTATTGATTTTTAAATGACGATTTATAATTTCTCTAGAACTATTGTCTTCTTCATTCATCAAACTGTTTTTTCGTAGATTCTCCATCATTTGATTCTGAAAATAAATGCGTTATCTAATCAATAATTTCTTAAAGTAATGATTTCAGTAGATGCATATCACCATTCACCGATCACAAATAAAAAAGTTATGCAATGTATATTTATTTTTTCATCATGTACAGGTTAAACAATTTTAAAATAATAATATAATAATATATAAATACCACATTCAAATTGTTATCATTATCATTGTCCTCCGTGTTTGATAATTCAGATACATTTTCTGGTGATGAATTTCTTCCGTTTTTCTAAAAATGTTAAGAATCATTTATAATAATGTATAGTTTTACATTGGTTTTAAAAATATTCAATGATAGATAAGAATTTTAGTTAAATATTGTAGTTCACTTTACATATATTTTAAAAAGTAAATATTTTATTATTCATTACTGGATATAATGACGATGTATTGCTTTCATTGTCTTCAGAACTATCAAACTTTATAGTTTCATTCATTTTTATGATTTGCTTTGACATCTCGTCAACGTGTTGATTCTTAAAAATCAGAGCTATCAGTTCAATGATTAGTACTGCCCAATGTCCTCGGTTAGAATCGGCGATCAAGGCAATAATGATCTAAATGCATATATATATATATATATAATAAGAATTAATATTTTCATGGAAAATGGCAATTAATTATGATAATGTTAAATTTAGTAGTTCAATTACAATTTTATAAGTGCTTATACATTTTTTTAAAATTGACAAACTATTCTTAAATTAAACATTAATCGTTTTTTAAAATTTTTATGCCTATAGATAAGAACATTTTTTCATAATTGTAACTTACAAGAATTAATTAAAATAACGCATAGAGTAATTTTTATGAGAGTATGAATTTAAAATTTTTACGTAATTGGTATTATAAATATACAATACAAAATATCTTTAGAAGTATAGACTGCAGCTAGTGAAATATTCATCAATAAAGTGATTCAATAACAAAGTATTCTCGAGATCTATAATGCAGTAGTCGTAGCGGGACAAACAATTTTTAAATTTTAATTTACAGATTAAATATGTATGCCCTTAAAATTATAAAATGCTTTTTACACTAATGTTAATAATTATTTAAAAACTTAAAAAATTAAATTGTCAATGTATGGCACAGAAATTAAACAATTAATTAGATAGATATTCGATAAAATGTAACAGTAAGTATTGATTTTTTCTGTAACTATAAGTGCTGTTAATCTAGTTTATAACATAATAATATATAAAACGAACATCTACTTATGAGTAAATATTATACACTGTTTCTTGTAAAAATGAGACTTCTGTTACTAATACTTATTATAATGAAACAATAGCCATGTGACATCTTATAGGTTACACTTTAGCAGATTTAAGTGCATAGGCGTAAATTGGAAGGGAATTTAGGAAGACTTAGCCCTCCTAAAAATGTGTATAGTTGTCTTATATATTTTTTAAAGTTTTTTAACAAGGTTTTTTACTAAAGAAAATTATAAAATGTACTACGTAGTTCCTAAAAAGGATACCCGATAAGTATGTATTATGTGAACGTTTAAGGTTTTTGCACATGGATGGATTATGTATTGTAAATTTATAATAAAATTAAAATGATTGAGCTTCGTTAATATTATATAGCAATAACTTTTTCAATCTACATTTTGAACAAAGTACTTAGTTCATTGATCGTTATAAAGTAAATATAGCAATAATATTTTATTAGAACCATGTACTTTGTATATTGGTTAATATTTAATTTTATATTTCATATTTCTTTAGGATTTGTTAAGTATTTCAGTTAATTCATTGAAAGCTGAAATGGCCGTCGCTAAAAATTGTATAATCCAAGCATATGGTAGACACTTCAAAAGAAATTACAGTAGATAATTTAAAGCTTATTTTTAGGACTGTGAATTTAATGAACTAAAAAACCTTAAAAAAATACATTAAAAATGTCAAAAAATTCAATAAAATATACACTTTAAGTGAAAAATATGCAATATAAAATGCCAAAAATGACAGTATAAAATACACTTTTTGATTTAATTTTTCTATTTATATTTTATATTGATATTATAAATTTAGTACATTTCATTTTACATGCATAAAAATGTGTTGATTTAATAAAAATAAAAAATGTAAAATGTTGATTTAATTTGAATTTTATATAATGTTATTCACCTGAAACGTTTTTAAAATTTTTTTTATGTATTTATTTAAATAAGTTAGTTAATTGACGAAATTTAGTTAAGAATACCAGAAAATTAACTAATAAAAGAAAATATGACTTAAAAATGAAAAAAATGACTTTAAAAATTAAAAAGTCAAAAAATGCAAAACAAAAGTTTCATAAATGGATTCATTACATAATTCAAATTATATACTTACAAAGCTACGTTTCAAAATCACAAAAAAAAAAAAAAAAATAATGCATTTTCCTACAGATTCACTGCTTCTACTTATTTTACATGTAAATGTTTACTCAAACTTGTTTTATTTGTATAAAATAGTTTTAACAATTAGTTCCTCTACGTGTGAGGGAAGCTTCTTTGCTATGCGCAGGATAAAAATGTGGTTACAAATGTTTATATCGCAAGATAGTTTCAATCAGGTGTCTATCTTATATATAGAAAAAGTGATATCAAAAATATTAACAATGAGACTATTCTTAAGAATTTTGCAGATGAATATTAATAAATAATGTTAAATTAATATAGGAAAAAAAAAATGTTATTAATCAATAAATTAAAACATGGTTTTGAAGTATTTATATACATCTTCTAAAAAAAAATGTTACAGTAAAATTATAAAATGTATATGTAGGAAGTGCGGGGAGCAAAGCTTGGGTTAGGTATGTTATATGTTTATAATTTTTGCCTCCCTCTCTTTTAACAATCCAAATTTACGCTTATGTTTAAGTGGCGGTACCTCTCTTAGTGTTTGAGTTGAATCTCATAATTATATTTACTGTTGTGCTTGAATAATATTAAATAAACAATTACCTCGTCAAATTGTTCAGAAAAGATCATCCACAATAATGTGTTTTGATATTGCTCGTTAGGTATGTGAAGAATATTTTTTATTAAACGTAAACAATTGGTTATAAACGATATACTTTGATTGTTGGTACACCTCGCAGGATAGCAAGACAACTGAAATAATAAATACAATGATAATCAGTTAATATAAAATAATAGAACATAATGTATTTCAATATTAGTGTGAATATAAAGACACGGAATAATATTAGTAACTATAATAATATTATATCGGGGAATAGAATTTTACGAGTTCCTCATCATGGTGGTGTTAAAATAAAGGTGATAGCCTATGGTCATGCTATGGCATATTGGATATTAATCCAATATTTTAATATCGGTCAATGTATTTACATCAGGGTTTGCAAACGTCAAGATAACTTTATGATTATAACGCTGTATTTGACAAAAACGATTGAAATTTGTAAACGAAATTATAACGGAAAACGACAAACATAAATAATTAAATAACACAAAACATTGTATTATATAGTATATTATTAAATTAAATAATTAATTTCCGATTATTTAATAGTTATAATTTATATAAAATATATTAAACATTTTAATTTTCAATAACGATAAACGCAAAAGTTGAATAACGATAAACTAAAAATTCGTATAACGTTTTGATTGTAAATAATGTATGATACATTTTTTTTTCAAATGCAAGCCCTAATTTACATTGTATTAGATTACTATTAACTATGAAATAAGGCACTTCAATAATGGTGCACAAAAGAATTGATAACCTTTATCGTTACTAACAATGAAATTATTATTATTTGTATCAAAGATAAAGACGTTAAAACAAAACTATTTGAATTTCAAGTATAAATATGATTTACAATACAGTTGTTTTTAAATTAAAATATTTTTTGAGGTATGTATAATATACTCGTATTATATCATGTTTTCATTGCATTGGCGAGCATCATCAGGTCATGTCGTCGCACTACCTGTAGGTAATACTGTTAAAAGTGTTAAAACGTTCTATGCACTAAGCCACCGACCAAATTGTTTTTACTCGCTTGATTAATGATGCGCAAACGATAAGTTCCAATTAAATGAGCGTACGCTCGTATCTTGTATAACTATTACGGATAATGCACTCTCTGATAAATAATATAGTATCTATACTGCCACTACATATTTTAATTGGTAACTATACCGAATTGATTTCTGTCGGTAAACGCAATCACGTAGTTGTCCTACGTTTACTCGTCAGCGTCGGGAAAGTTAAATTATTATTATTACTCAAATCATATAAATTATTCTCGAGTCACATCGAACGCACCAGATCCCCGTAGAACATAAGTTAACCGGGATTATTTAATTCCGTGACACCTGCTAAACTGAACGCGCAATATTACATATTATTTATTAATGGAAATAATGTAAAAATTAAGTAAGGATCTACGTGGAATGGGTAATAATACAATAATTTTGATTTTCGTTTGATGTGAGTCGAGCATTAATTTCAACACGTCAAAACTCTAAGATGATTATGTAGGAACTCGTTAATAAGGCAAATAGTGAAAATAATTAATGCGAAACAAATAAAAAAATGTTTGTATAGTGATAGTGAATAAGAATAATTATCATGGTTTTAATTTTCAACATAACGTATATTCTCGTAAAACTAACAGACTGTTTCTGTATATATTATATGTTAACTATTACCTTATTGTAATTTAATATTTTGAATAATTATTTATAAAAGTAAAAAATTATAGAAATTTTTTTAAACTTTGTTAGCATTTGTTACAAATTCATATAATAAATATTTGTATATTGTATATTTTATATATTACATAATATACACATATACGTCCTGAATTATATCTTTGTAGACTTTCACATAGAAGATATAATTTTTATCTTCTATATAATGTTTTAACCTTACAAAATAATTAAAATGAATGATTTACTTTTTTCATATGTTCCTTTATAATTTGCATGATTCGTTTGATGGCTTTTAAGTCAGTCCATGTAGCTTTACTTGTCATCATCATCCAATTCATCCTAAGTAACGTGGAATTATCACTCTTTTCTCCAACTCTTTTTTCAACTAGCATCAAACATTCAATCGGTGATATTAGGCTAACAAGAATTCTGTAAAATTTAATTATGAGGTAAGTAAATTAAAAACAACTGCGGCGTGTTAGAAAATCACATACTTCAACAAAATGTCAATTATATTTTCGTTATTAACTGCAATAAACATCGGTATGAGATGCTGAACATGAAAATAAAATATTGTATTAGCTATATGTATCTAAGAAGTAATAACTATTATTTGCAGTTACATTAATTAGATTATCACTTAATGTATTTATGTATATATTTAGGTAATAATAATCTTATACACATTGACAACTATTTATTAATGCCGTTAAATAAACATCATATATTTAAATACTTGATTTTTTTGTTCATAATTCGATGTCCGAAAACAAATAATTAAAAATTAAAACGTATGGTTAAAAAAATAAATATAATTACTTAAAAAACGAAAAACGTATATGAAATATGTAAATTAAACATTTTTAAAATCCGTTCTTTTTTTTAAAAATTTGTGCAATGATTGTATTTTGGCCAATTTTGAATTTAGGATGAAGTGTTATAAGTTAAATTAACTTAAAAAAATCTATAAATCCTAATTGTATGTTAAAAATATTAATTACCTTTCAAAATAATACATTCTGTACATTAAGTACACGCAACGTGTTTAATACGGATAAACTAAAAAATTAAAAATTTATCAAAGTACATTTTATTATTTCAGTACCTACTAGATTTCCCTAAAAATTAATTCCAAATACAAGGTTATATGGTTGAAATATGTAGCGTTGTTTAAAATCGTGATCATACTATATATACAGTATAAGAATGTATTTTTTAAAGTCTCGATGAGCGAAGTAGTAGACCAACATTTTTAAGGAGTTCTTGTTCCATTATAATTACTATACTTTGCTAATCTATACTTGAAAAATTTATTAATTATAACTAATTTATTATTCATTCAAAATTCGATTTTTTTGTATTGATATACTCTAAGCAACATTCTGTTTAGGTTTAAGAAATTAAAAATGTTTAATGGCATTTAAAAAAGTATAAAGATGATATAAATATTCAAGGAATACATTTTGTTTTTTCTCAAAATGTCATTAAAATGACTGATATAAAATCTTTTAAAGTGAGAATGTGACTTTTTTATTTTTAAGCATATATTTTTCTTTGTTATTGAACTGCTATCATACTAATTTCCCCTGCAAATATATATAAATAAACTATTTCAATAAAATAAAATTAAAGTTAATTTAATTTAAAGAAAAGTATTAATAGTTTTTGCTGTTTTAAAATCAAAATCACAGTTTACGAGAGATTTATAGCTTATTTTACCTTATAGTTTCCTTATTCTGCCTATAAAATAATTTATAAATGCAGCGTAAAGGTACTGTAGACCTGGCATTGCAATAATAAAGATTAATTTGAAAGAGACTGGGACTAAAAAATTATGACTTATTTTGTTAATTGTTTAAAAAAAAAAAAATGTTTTAATATACTCTTAAATTAATAATTAATTAAATTTAATACTTTAAAACTTCACAAGAAATATATAATAATACAACTACACAAACTTTGTTTAATAGTTGTGAGAATCCAATTATCTGTCTAAGATGCGTTGCACTTTCTTCTGATGAATTCAATTTTTCATAGATATGCATGAGTATTACTGCAAAATCAAGAACAGTTTTGAAAGCATAAATAAATAATAATAATACGATTTTTTGTAATTTATAATTTAGACTTATATCTGAGGAATAATAATTTAAGTATAAATGTTTAAAACATTAAAACATAAGCATTAAACACATACCTATAAATAATTAAGATTTTACAAACACTTCTGTGCTATAAACTGAGCAGAACGATGAATGTATTGTTTTTACAACGAAATCATTTTTAGAAGAGAAAATGTTTCAATATTTAACTTAAAGTAATGATTTGAATAGAAAATTAGATCTATTTAGTTATTAATTTATTATGAAGAGTGAGGGAGGGTTAAAATTAAAAATTCAAATATATATTTTAATAATTAGGAAAAACCAAAAAAAAAAATATGAAAAAAGGATATAATATTTAATATAGATACTTACATATTATATTCGTGTAGCAATATTATAAAATTATTTTGTTTTTTTTTTATTTTTAATACCCCAAAGTATAAGTTATCTACGTCTAATTTCTTACAAAAAACCAATATCAATGTTAAATGTCTGAGATTTTTTTTTGCAAAAAACACACATTTTAAAACAAAATAAATTTATTCATTGCTCGAAAAATATATAACAGCAAACCATATTCCATTATAGAAATAGCTTTTCAAATGTGATTATATAACGTTGCTTTAAAATGTATGTAATGTAATAAAAACACATTGTTTCGGACACGTTATCATTGTACTTTATCGCTATATTACATAAAAACAAAACTATTATGTATAAAATCTAAATATTACATATAATATAAGTTTAATTTTAATTTATATGTTTTTCATAATATTTATATTTTATTTCTTGGTTAAATTATATTACATTTTTTACAAACATAATAACAATTAAGTTTCAGCTTGCGTTACATCATTGAATTATAAGTTACTTAATGTTTAATAAAAACACCTATTGTTAAAATCCTAATAATTGTTTAGTTTAAAAATATTCGTGCATATTGTTTTAAAACTTTTGTGGTAATAAATAGAACAAGAACAATAATTTGATTTTACGTTATACTTACTAAAACAATTTTTGGATGGGACGTAATCATTACCGACGCGAGTTCCCAAATGTGCAAACATATTTTGCGTGTTACTATTTCTGAATAGTCCATCCATCTTAATTATTTTCGTTAAGCGGATGTTGGTTTTATCTGAAAACACAACAATAAAAAATAGATTATTTAATTGTATTCGAGATAATAATATAATATAATAACATTAAATTTTAAAATTATTATTCATAGTTGACATTCAATGTAGCAATCGTTTAGTGATTTGAAGGCACTCAACAAGGTCTTCACTTCTATCTGATATAATTTTTCAGCTTTCAGATAAACGTGATTATACCACCCATTGTCCAGACACGCCTTATACATAGAGTATAGTAGATATCTAAGTGTATTAACTATATAATCGTGGATGTGTATTACGTATAGTAAATGATACCTAATTAATAACATTTAACTAATACTGTTCTTATTTTAGTTAGATTAATTTGAAATCAAATATTATTCTGGACAATAAATTCAAATTAATAAAATATTATTCAAATGAAAAAATACAAATCACATAACATTATTTTTTGAAAAATGAACATTTCGCTTGTGATATATTACATTACGCCAATCTAGAATTTTTTTATTTTTTTGAAAAAGTTTTTAGATAACTAATAAGGGTCTAGGACATTGCGGCACAGCCACTTCGGCACAGCCGTTTCGACACTGGCAATTTCGGCGCGACGTTATTTTAATATAATATTATTTATTTTGTATTTTTAAAATTGTATTATTTTTAAAATTCTATATTAATATACCTGCCGCGCCAAGATATCCCCGCGCTGAAATAGCCAGCGCCGATATTATTAATTCATTTTTTAAAATTATTATTTATATATGTTTAACTATTTTGTATTTTTTTTAATGTAATATTGGAATAATGATATAATATCAATAAAATATTATTTATTTTGTATTTTTAAAATTGTATTATTTTGAAAATTCTATAATATACCTGCGGCGCCAAGATATCCCCGCGCCGAAATAGCTAGTGCCGATATGTTTTCGTGCCGAAACAGCCGTGCCGAAATGGTGGTTCCGAAATATCCAAATCCCAGCTAATAAACATCAATCGCCATATTAAATAAGTAATTATTAGAGTTCGGATTTAAAGGCAATATAATTGATAAAAAAGCATTTAATATGTAAAAAAAGGCAAAATAAGCATTTAATTTATAAAAAAATAAATAGTTTGTATATTGTATGTTTTAACTAGTTTGTATTAAAAATAAAACTGTGGACTGATGAACAATTTTGAATCAAGTATCTACGAATAATGATCATATTTTAATCTATAGATACGTAGTGTGAGTACTTTTATAAACGTTAAATTAACTGGCAATATCAAATACTCGATAAAGTATTTAACGATATCGATAAATATTACAGATAATAAAACTCATTAAAAATAATTGATAAATGACAATGTACCGTCTTCAGAAGACGAATGTTCTATAAAACGAATTGTGTATAAAAATGGATTTGTTTATCAAATCCATTAAAAATTAAACACAAAAAAGGAATTTTATAAATCAAAAATGCATTCATAAGCAAATAAGGCAAAAAAAAAAAAAGAAATTCTTTCATTGTTTTAAATATTAAATGACATACATTTTTCTATTGTTATTATTGAAAAAAAGCTTTTTTTCCTTTAAATCTGAACCCTAGTAATGATCTATTTTTTTATTTGATAATATTTATTTTACTTGGTTCGTGATCATCTTTATAAATGTATAACACCTATACAATATACAGGTACTCTAGTATACCTAGTACAGTAGTACCTAAGTACTAACAAATCTGATATCGTATATTTATAATCGATAGAAAAAAAGTCTTAGCGGCTTTAGAAGAAATTCAAACTATTTTCAATGTTTCCTACGGTATATTCTACATTAAGTTAGTCCTTTTTATGAATAAACATAGACATATATAGACATATAATGCATTAACTATATCACGTTGGTTTGATGTATCACGTGTACAATAATTTAATACATCTACCTCCCTCCTCTACACTAATACAAACATACTCATTTCAAGAAAATTGCCTTTCCAGTTATATAATCGACGATCACGTTGTTGAGTATCGAGTTTTCGCTATTACCATAGTACATTACAGGGAAACGAGAACAATATTTTAAACAAAGTTCATTCAATGATAATTTTTTAACGAAATATCTATAAAAGCCAAATTGATGTTGTACACAGTTGATCCAGTAACGTTGAATCAAATCATTACATACTAAACTTGAGTAAATAACAATAAGTCCTTGAGATACAATACGTAAATTTTTTTTTTAAAAAAACGTATTTTTTTTGGTAGAAATATCGTTTAGAATATGTTCCTTGTATTTGGTAGGTACAATGGTTTTGTATTGTACAATCGTGATTTGGTGTCAAGTAAGCATAACTGTCTACGTCATTTGTCTTTTATATGTTTATTTATAACGCCCGCGCGCTAAGGCTATGATGTAATTTTATGTTAAGTTGAGGTGAGAGAGCAATAAAGCAAACAATAAAAATTAATAATTTTATGTTATTATTCTAACTTAACATAAAGCTTTTAATTTAGATTATACAAGCTTTTTTAAATGATTCAATTTTAAGTAATAATTTAGCAAATAATTTGTAAACAATTGTCTGATATTCTCCCAAAAGGACTATGGAATGTATGTTATCGGACACATCTAAAATATTTATATTTTAAATTTTAGAAATATAGATCATTATATTCAAGTATCACATTTTAGTTTAATTTCATTAATATCATTCAAGAAGATGCCAATACCGGCTTTGTTTACTCCGCCTCATAAGACATACGTCATAACATTTTTAGTTTAATAGTTTTATATTAGTTTAATATAAGAGTAAAGTAATTGAGTTATTATCAAACGTTAAAGTAACAACACTGTTCGTAATGTATTCGTTGTGTTTTTCAATATTTTAATTTTGAAGAAATTAATAGCATTTTTTAAATGGTAATATTTTACATGCTTGCACTTATTTTAAAATTGAAAAAATGATAAAACCATGTTTTTTAACGATAAGTATTAACGTGTATTTTTAATACATCGATTATATAAAAGACGGTTGTTATGTGTTTATGTGTTAAAAGCACATTTTTGTAGAAAACATTGTTATAAGTACAACTATTATTATTTTTACACTATTGTGCTTTTATAATGGTATAGTATTCATTAAATTTTATTTTATAAAACAAAAATGATTTATTATTATAATTATTTATCATTACTTAGTTTTTACCTTAATGCTTTTGAATAAAAAAAAATAAGTATGATAAATGATAGTTGATACATTGTCCATTCGATGTAGGTATTTTATAAGTATTGAATTATTTTAAGAACAAAAAAATGGATGTATTTCACAATTTATTTTGGTTGTAGAATAGTAAAATATAAAATAATAATATAATTTATTATTTAAAAAGTTAAAAAAAATCTAAAATATCGCCATGATAAGAAGTAATACTATATTTTTAAAAATGAGTTGGTTCTTATAATAATTACGTTTTAGAGATAAAATATTTATTTTTTTTTCGAAATTTAAAAATTATCAAAAACTGAATACTGTACGTTAATATTACATTAAAATAATTATATTCATTCCGTGATTTAGACTTATAATAGCTTTACAAAATTATACATATACTTAGAATAATATCAATATTTATAAACATTTGAGTTAATTGAACTTTCTTTAAAATTTCAGTAATCGATTATGGTATTTATTTAAAATACGATTGTTATAAAATTTTATTTTTCTTTTCAATAAAATAAAACTGTTATTCTAAAATTTACTTTAAATGTAAATCCAGACAAAAGGTAAGTGAGGCATGTACTGCAGGTATAATCATAGATTTAAAATCTTATGCATTTAATTAAATGTAGTTTTTTCAGTCTTTTAAATCTAATTACTATAAAATAAAATAAAATAAAAACGAATGAAATAAGGTTAAAAAATAAATATCTTTAATAAGTTTAGATTAATTTCTTAGAGGAACAACATACATATTTTTTTATTGAATTACAATGGCATATTGTGCCTGCATGTGACGAATATATGGTTGATAAAAGCGGTGTGTTAGGAAAACTCACCCACCACTCACTAGCAGTGCAACACATATGCCCAAATGAGTAAAAATAATTTCCAATGAAAACTTACTAGAAAAAGCGTGCTTATTTAAGAAAAATTCATTGATCGCAATAGTAGAATTAATTTTATTATTCACTGTTTTACATATTATTATATTATGATAAATTATGCTATTGCTGTATTTATAAATTTATAGCATAAATCAATTTTTTACAAAATTTAACTTATGTAACTTAAATTATGCATAGCCGCATAGGCAGTTACTATTTATAATATCTATTTTACTTTCAATAAATATGAAATGCTAAAAAAACGTACACACGGCAGTGGTGTGCCTAAAAAGCCTATACAGAACGCCGTGTCTTAATAGTTTTATAAGTTTTATTATTAATCATTTCCATTAGTAACTAACAATATTAATAACTAATAATAATATTAATAAGTTATAATATGGTATAGTTATAGTACTAACAATGATTGTAATTAAAAAATTGATTCATTTTTAAATTTTTTTTTTTTACTGAATTGATAACTGTTTTGAAATTTTTTCATGATAATTATTAATACAAAATAATATTATGTTCAAATTTATATTATTTACTGTATTTATTAAGTTAAACAATTATCAGTACAATATATGTAGATAATATCAAGAGCTTAAAGTTGCTTGCGTATTAGCATATTGATTTTTCTCAATTTGAACATTTTTTTCAATTTCAAATTTAATTTAAAAACTTAAATTAGATGTAAAACTTAACTATTATATTTTATATTTAAAAATTTTCAAGCAATTTGTTTTTGCGATTTTATTATGTTTTGTTTAGATTTTAATTATATTCAAATAATAATTTAAGACGTAGATTTGGTATTAAAAGTAATGGAAAAAAAATATTATTTAAACTTAGGTATTCATTTTATATAGAAAAAAAAAAATTGTTAAATAGTGTTTTAAAGTTCAAATCCAGAAATATACAAAATATGCCTTAAGAATTTCTACATAGATAATGCATTTTTTATGAATTGTTGAACAATGGTTTGTATTATTATTTAACATTTAGCGAAACAAAAAATTATCACTTCTTCGCTGTGTAAAGTAACACACTCTAAAGACTAATCAATTTTATAATTAAACAACTAATATAGGTTAGATAGATAAGGGATACTAAGATATTATGACTTATTAGTCATGAATGATTTGACCCATTTTGACTTATAAGAATTGTTCATGACTTTTGTTATTTTAAATTGATGAAAAAGTTAGGTAAAATATTAACACATTGTTTTTAATGTAATAATAATTATGGCATATTTAATTGGTATTAATACATTTTTAAATAATCAACAATATATTTTCAGCAAAACCATAGTGAAGGTATGATAATTTTGAATATTAATACTTGAATTTCTTATATAATTGATTAATAAATAAAATTCTTAGCTTAACACTTAAAGCTATTAACAAAAATATAATAATTACCAATAAAAGCGCCTTGCTTGGTGTTCTTACAATCTTATGCGTATTGAATACAATTTAAGTATACTCTGCGGTAGACGAGCTTGAAGTAGAATGCCGAGAACGACTAACTCTGACTGTTGAATTATATAATGTTTATACAAAAACATTATGATATATATTATGTAGGAAGGTATCACGTTTTCATGCAATGTGACAAACCACAGTCACGCGCACACTGCAGATATAGATGTGTTAAACTATTACATTTTGAATGACTTGTTTTATTGTTATTATAATGCTAAATAACGCATTTCATTATTATGTTTACTTGCTTTGGAACAATTAAGACTAAACTATGTAATATTGTTTTACGTGTTTTACTGTAACATTCCCAACACTTATAAATAAAATTAAAATTAAAAAAAAACTGCCTACTCTTGTTTTCTAATATTTTATATTATTACCTAAGCCATTAAAATTACCCAGGTTAACTATGGTAAGCATGATAATCTATAAATAAAAATAAAATATAGTTATAGCTTATACTGAAACCAAAAAATCTAAAACATATCTAAGCGATTTTTTTCTTCAAATTTAGATTACATATAACATATTTAAATAATTGTGAATAAAGATAATCATTTTTTTATAATAGTTCAAAAACATTGTTCATAGAAACTTAAAAACTATTATAAGCATTAAATATTTTAATGTTAGTTCTGATAAGAACACGAAAAATCTTATATTGAAAGTTTAAGCCTCAGACTGACAGTTATAAAAATTAAAATTGTTTGTACACTTTTAACTACGAAATAATTTAAACATTTTTGTAATTTTGACGATCTTGTCAAAATTTAACTTTAAGCGTCAGTAAGAAAAACAAGTGGGCAAGTGAGTATCTCTCTGTTGAATAGTAGATGTCAAATGAATCGTTAAAATATGTTACTAAGTGAATTAAACGTCACATATTTTTGATGTTGCATTTATGTAAAGTAATTATTAGTAATTTGGTAGGTTGAATTAATTTTTGCCAAATACATTGCTTTGAAAAGTATCGTTGTGCAATAAGACATAAAAGATATAATATAATACGTAAAAATTTTTGTCTCTACGAATGATGTATTTGAATTATAATAAAATAATAAATGTTATTAATAATGAGTTAAATAGGTATGTAATTTCGTCCAAATTTCAACTAATAATGTTTATTATAAAAAAATTATACTTATATATTTATTATATTTTTTGGTTTCAATGAACCAAAACACTACTTACTTATGAATTACTTACGAAGAACTTTTTATCATATTTTTAAGTCATAATTTTAAACATTTCAAATTTTAATAATATAATTAAATTGCAAAACAATTTGCAAATTTTTAGGATTTTAAAGAATTTTGCAACTTTTGAAAGACGCTTATAAAAATAAGTTGTGTCTTTGTATTTTAAATGTTTTTACATATTTATGAAATTTTTTAAGTTACCAAACAATTTTATCAGCAAATGACTTTTGACGATCTTTTTAATGAAAAAAAAAAACTAAAAAATTAAAAATTTTAAATATCAATAAATAATTTAAAAATAGTTAAAATATTTTGAACTTTATGTTACGTATTATATATTTATATTATGCTTTCAGTATAATGTCCACAACACATCTAAATTTCTAAAATAAATTTAAAAATATATTATTTACGTAATCTAATGGTCGTTACTGGCTGGAAGTTACAATGTTAGAGTATAATATATTATAATAATAGTAATAAAAACCCAGTTTATGAATAGCTTATAAATAGTTAAAACTTAAAGGTGGGTATTAAATAGCAACAACTATAAAATAATATAGGAAGAATTTAAAAATATGATTTATTAGAGGAGGGTAAAAGTGTATGACAGTGCATTGAGTTAGAAATTTTGCCTACCATCGATAAGGCTAGATACATATAAAATTTTGAGGATAAGCTTATAGTCTTAAGACATCTTCAGAAGATTATATATTGTTATTATTATTACTTTAATACAATACGAACATGTGCCTGATGTCATAACAAAGAGATACGTACTTAGTACACTTATTATATAATAATTTTCGTTTTTATCAAAATATTATATGTCACATAATAATACGTATTAGTTATAATGAATAATGATTCATATAATATGTTATATAATAAATTATTGTTTTTATATTATTACATAACATTTCAATCATATGTAGCTGTGAATTTTGATTTCAAACATTTTTTCACTTATTATTTCCACCTAAATACACCTGAATGAAATACTTAATGGTTAAATTATAAATTTTACGGTATATATGGTTATGGTATATATCTACAATACATCAGATCGTAAAAATAATTTAAACTTTGCTTCAATGGAAATAGTCAAGATGTTTAATATTTTGAAAATTTTACTATAAACAGGAAATGATAATTTAAATACTTGGTGGTGAAAAATTGATCTCTTTAAAGTACAAGCTAAATGCAATTTGCTATTCAAAACATCTTCAATGTTGAAAATTGAAGCAATTTATATTATAATATTCTATTTTATGATTATAAAATAAATAACATTTAATTGTGTTTTTAATTTTAATTTTTAAATTATAATTTAAAGTCATTCTTATTTAAATTATTCAAATCACCAATACGTTATACTTATTACTAGAGATTATATGATAAATTGATATAGAAATGTACACAATGTCATAAAATTAAATTTACTTATTGGTATTCAAATCCAAATCATGTTTATTTATTACGTACTATACGGATGAATTCATACGACTTTAATCTCATAGACTTCAGAAATTATAAGCCTGGTCGAAAGTTGGTTTTATCTTATGAATACGAATTAAAAATTTAATTAACACACTTAGAGTTAGTTTAAATAAATTTTACCAAATACATCTAACGGCTCCATTATTCAAGTACTTCCACGGATATAGTAGAATAATTAAAACATTTTAGTATCATTTAATTGAAATAATAAGGCTTTAAATATTAACATAGCATGAAAAATTATACATTGGATAGCAAAAATAATGTATTTTGTAAGGTTCAATAAAATTAATTAAGTTATTTTGAAAACGTTTTAATTTACTAAATCAATTTTTTAGCTCATGTTACTCAAGCCATGTCATATCCATCTCATACGCTTATTGTAAAATATAATTACAGATTATGTATTCAATAATAAATGTTAAATAAATAAACAATTTACTAAATAAAAATTAGTGTTTAGTTAGATAACTGTTCAATATACTACATCTATATATTAAATATCTTTATCAACTGTTGTTTTCTATGATAAAAGTAAAATTTGTTCTAAATAAAATCTGAGAAGAAAATTATTACTTATTTAGTTAATTGGAAATTTAAATAGATCTTTTTGAACGTTTTTGACTATTAAGTCAACATAATCAGTCGTAATATTGTACTTATTTTTATCGTTTAAATAAGTATATGTTATAGATTAAATATCTATACTATTTATCCACACTTATTCTAACTTATAAAATTCCTTTGACAACGAACTATGAATAATACTGATTAGTTACTGTTTTATAATTTTTATATTGATTTTTACTAAATTATTGAGGTATTATATTATAGGTTATAACATTTTTAAAATATTAATGGTTTGTTTTTGTTTTGGACAACAAAATAATGATGTGTTTGATACAATTTTTTTATTCGGGTTATTTCTAGCTATTAAACTGGCACCATTATAGCAAAGACCGACCAATTGTTTTTCAATACCAAATCCTAGTAAAAAGGAAGTGATTAAATGAAATAAGTCCTATAAAAGTATAATAATATGGTTTTCGCTGATATCATAAAAAAAAAGTTCAAACAAATTAGATTTTATTGACGATGTATCTTAAAAATTATGGAACATTGTGCTTTTTGAGTTATATCTTTTGTATTATCAAGTTTTACAGACTAAAAGTTGCATTTTATACTTCAATATTTAATATTTTTAATTAATTATTCAGATATAAATAATATTCTATGATTTTGTATGATTTTTTTATTTATCTGTAAACTTATTCTTCAATGTATTGTAATAATTTTGTACATCTAATGAGCATATACTAAAATCTAATTCAACTAACTCTTTAAAGTTATTTTCATTAAATAAATTTGTGCTTTCATTATGTATTTTAAATGATATCTCTTGTTCCATATATAACCTATTTAATCTTACATTTATATTATATTATATTTTGATTAATATTCTATATTTACTTAAAGAATATTCAACACTAAAGGAAATTATTTTAATTTTTAGATTTAAATAACTGTGAAAATTATTTTTAGAAATTTTATATGTCCGAATACTTCTTGACAAATTTTTGAAATCAGAGTATCTAAATATTATCCAAGCAGAATTTGTTTGACTCAGTAAAAAAGTCAACATAGTAATTTCTGTAAATAAAAAATTTCCACATAACTAAGCATGTTTATTTTATAAATTTAGATGGAAGGTCTTAAAATTACTTTTTGGCTTTTTTTATCTGCAGATAAACATGTTAGAAAAGAAGTTGATTTAATTTTGCCTAACTAAATTATTTTATATGTGCACCAACGCTTGAAAGGATGTTCTTGAAGCAAACAATTGGGTTATCAACAGTCAATCAAAATTATTCTTATGCAGATTGTAAATAATAAAAAAATAAAGAAAAACTATATTGACTAACGAAATAGGCAACAAAAAATAAAGTGCATGGTACCAATCTGATAGAAAATTGAAAACAGATATAAGAAATTTGAATAAACATAATATAACTATAAAATTGCTATTCATTTAGTGGTGACGTGTAACGGCATTTAAGATTTATTAGTTATCGGCATGATATATACATTGAATGCCTAAAACTTTATTTATTACCTAAGAAATTAAACTACGACCGCCAACGGTTGCTAAGATTATGCGCTGCCTCTCACAGGTTGTACATCTGTTATTCGTATTATTTTACGTACGTTCGTGTGTATAACGTTGTGTACACACTACACATCAAACATAATTTAGATGGTGGTAGTGGCTGTCTTGTGGTCCCACCGCTGTTACCAGATTAATTAAATTTAGA